GTCAGGACTTGTTAGAAACAGGAGTTTAAAGCTTTAAAATGGAGCTAGAATCTCTACTTTGTGTGTTAAACAATGCAAACAGCTTCAGAAGTGACTGAAACTCTGTTTCAGCGTTCAGTGGAGAAGCTTTTTGCCTTTTTTCTGCAATCTGGAATAAAGTTAGAGGATTTTCGGTGACACGTGGGAGAAAATTAGAGCTGATTTTGGAGAAAAAAGGCAGAAAATCTGATTTCCTTTGGAAACTAGTTTGGTTCAGAGGCTCAGATGTTGATGTTTTATTCAAAAAAGGCTAATTAAATGGAGCCGTTTATGTCATTTTAGGCAGTTAGATGGAAGAAAACCAGAGTCAGGACTCATCAGAAACAGGAGCTGAAAGCTTTAGACTGGAGCTGGAGCCTCTATATTGTGTGTTAAACAATAAAAACAACTTTCTTTTTCTTCCTGTAGCTCTGGAATAAAGTTAGAGGACTTTCAGTATCGTTTAGGAGAAAATTAGAGCCGACTTTGGAGAAAAAAGGCAGAAAATCAGATTTTCTTTGGACTCCAGTTTGGATCAGAGGCTCAGATGTTGATGCGTGATCACAGATAAAGAGTTAAAAGTGCTAAATAAAAGGGTTTAAAAGGCTTTGTGAAGATGTCAGGGTTTATGATGTTTGTTTCCACTCAGAAAAACCTGTTTGGTCCCTGTAAACAAAGTCGGTGTGAATGTTTGCTGTCGCTCTGCTTTCCTCTCTCCACCCCCACCCTCGGTCTCCGGGGGGGCCCCGGCCCTCCCACCCAGCCGGCCCCGCCCCTCCGCCGTGACCCCGAGGGCCCCGGGGCCTTTGTGGGGGTCTGGGAATGTGTCTCCTTCAGCGGGACCAGCTGGGAGGAGAGATGCCCCCCCACCTGTCTGAAAGCAGCCCCCCCCCGCCCCATCGGAGCGCCGCCACCTTCAGCCGGGGCCGGATTCCCTCACTCAGGCTGTCCATCACACACACACACACACACACACACAGTCCCTCACTTGTTACACACGTTGAAAACTGCATTTAAGACCATTTCATTGGTCTTAAATGCTGTTTAGTGAAACAGGAAGTGGCTCGTTCGGACGATCTTTATCCATCTTTTTAGCTTGTTTTCAGGAGATATCCCAAACATTTAAAAAAATAAGTCAGTTTTTATTATTTCTTATTGGATTAAGAATAGGAGCAAAGGTCGATTTAGGACCATTTCATTGGTCTTAAATGACGTTTAGTGAAACAGGAAGTGACTCGTTCGGCCTATCCTCATCCATCTTTTTAGCTCGTTTTCAGGAGATATCCCAAACATTTAAAAAATAAAAGTCAGATTTTATTATTTTCTTATTGAATTAAGACTAGGAGCAATGGTCGATCAGTTCCTGGTTAAACGTGAAACGACTCTGCTGTGGTTTAAGCTATTTATCTGTTTCCGGCTCCCATCAGCATCGATCTTTTACTCAGAAACCGGAGCAGAAACTGGGTTTTCTTTTCCAGAATCTCCTCATGTGGAGCCACTGGGTAGAAAAGTGAGCGGGATTGTAGGAAAAAATGTGCTGAAAGTTGCACTGAGGACACAATTTCAAACAAATAAAACACTTAAGTGGAAAACCAAACCAACAAAAGATGTTTTTTTTTACCAAAAACATACGTTTAAAGAGTTAGAAGGAATTTTAGCCTTTTAGATTTCTGCATATTTTTGAAGTTGTATCCACTAAATAAAGCAAAACAACCAACCATAAATGGGCTAAAGGTGAAAAGCAGCACTCTGCAGACTTATTTCATCACTCATGCACAACAATTTGACAAATATTCTGCCAACAAACGCGTTTTCCCTTCAAAAGACAGAAAACTTTACTATGAATTCATCTTAACTCAATGAGACTGAGATTGTTTGGGACTCCTAAAAGAGGCTAAAGGTGTTTCTATCTGATAAATCCAGCTCTTTAAAAGAATATTTACAGCCAGATAAGCTCCACGTTAATCAGTATTTCTGTTTAGTTTGGCCGAGAGACTCCTGAGAAGTGACAATAACCTCCGACAGGCTCCCCCCCATCCCCCCCCGCATCCCTCCATCCCTGACTTCCAAACAAACAGAAACTTAGCGACTCCCGTCGGCCCCCGTTTGGGAAAGTCCAACAGAGAGGATCTGCTCCTCCGCCACGCATTTTTTTCTGTCTCCCCCACGTGGAAACAAACACCGACGGGCCCCAGAGACGAAAGCCCACAGAAAAAGAGGGGGGTGGGGGAAGGGGGGAAAAGGCCGAGAGGGAGGACAGCCCCGAGTGAACTTTCTGCTCATTAAGCCTCGAAATATTCCTTTCTCTGCACAGAATCAAGGTCTGGGTGCCTCTTTTTCTTTGTTAGAGGAGGCAGCAGCTGCTGGGAGGGTGGAAGTGTGGAAGAATGCAGCGGACTGGGCAGAGATGGTCACTTCCAGCTGCTCCGGCCCGTCAGGCGGCTGGATCCAGGGGGCTGTTTTTTTTCCGAACGCTCCGGGCCGCGGCTAAAAGCAGGAAACTCGGGGTTCCGGTCACCGTTTCAGAACCACCGACACCAAAAAAGCCGCCGCTTTTTACCCGAATCGACTCAGAAAAGTGACCGACCCGCTGCTCCGTCCACTCGTTTCACAGGGACAGTTATTAGCGTCGCGCAGCGTCTGTTTTCTCAGAAAATACTGAGAAAAAACGGAAAGATCTGAGGGATTTTGATGGGAAAGAAAAGAGAATATGTTGCTTTTCTCGTTTTATGTCTGCATTTTTTCCAAGGAAGCAACATTTCTGTTTAGTTTTTATTTCTAACTCATTCTGCCTCTGCTGAATGAACACAGAACACATAAAAACTGTTATCAAGGCCTTAAATGAGCCTAAAACGTCCAAAAAATGCCCCCCTGCTCATCAGCTGCTGCTTTGCTCTTTGTTCACTTTCGTTTTGAGCTTTTGACCATATTCCTGCAAAGGAAAGCAGGAAAAACTGTGTTTCTCAGGGCATTTCTCCTGTTTTTTATTATTTAAACTGGGTGTAGCTTTGTCAATACACCAGCCTTTATGTGGCCACTATCCAAGAAATGTGGCAAGCATTTGATTTGCACATTTTAGGCTGAAATTCCTAAAGAGTGAGTCATTTAAAATGGGAGGAATGTGAGTAAATATCATTTTCGGGAGGCAGAAACCAAGGAAAGTTGTTACAGTTGAGATGGAGCCACTTATCCGAGGGTGTTTGGTGAAATTTGGGTCAGTAAATCCAGATGAAATGAGAAAAATCATCCACTTTCATTGAGTCTGAAGAGAAGCTGGACCCTCACAGGCCAGAGCAGATAAAGCAAAGCACATTATTAAGGGTGTAATCCCATTAAACTGCTCAGACGAGCGGCAACCAGCAACCACTCCTTAATCCAAAGGAAAACAAACCAGACATGGAGACATTTAAGCCTCAAACCCCGAACCAGAACAAGCACGAGCCCAGATGTGTCGGTCACTGAGACCTTACCCAGTTTAATACCACGACCAAGTCAGAAAACTCCAACATTTGATTCTTCTCGCCCCCAAAAAACCCAAACAAACATCAGTTCCTGGTGCACACTCTGCACCTTTTTAGCTCTCCTGGTTAAAAAAAAAAAAGAACAAAAAAGGCCACAAAAACACACATACGGGGGTGTTTTCGTCTCCCCAAACTGCACATTTCCTCCATGCTGACCCACATAGACTCCGAGCCAACATCTGGCGGACGGCTGCTGGAGCCCAGAGCAGAAAAGGCTGGGTTTTCTTTCTGGATTTAAGCCGGATCTGGACGCAGGTCCACAGCCAGTGGCCTCATTTTGGGGGCTCAAAAGTTGCATCCAAACAAATCTATTATTTCCCATTATCTTTAAACATGGGGGGTGGGGGGGGCATAACAAAGCCACAGCAGCCCACCAGGTCAGGCGGTCTTTCTTACCTGTGTCCTGCCGGAACTGGTGCATGGACTGGAGGTCTATGATGTACGGCGACAGCCGGCTGTCGACCTGGCCGAGGACCACGCTCCCTCCGCGGGCGTCGCCGCTCCGGACGGCCGCCTCGATCTGGTGCGAGACGGCCGGGCTGTAGGGCCGCCACCGGCCGTGCTCGTTCAGCCATTCCCACACCACCACCGCGGAGGCCAGGAGCATGCTGCTGTCGGCCCTGGAGGGGGGGGGACACCCACCCCCAAACACAAAGAGACTGCTGTGAGCGGAGGAGAGTGGGGGGTTTGTTTGTTTTTGCGGAGGGAGACGCGGCCCGGGTGGAGGTTAACCGGCCGGTCGGCGGAGGGACACGGCTGCTTTTATCCCGGGTTTGGGCTTCAACCGGCCGCGTGAGAGCCCCAGAAAAACAGGCCGAGGGAGCCCCGGATAAAAGCCGCCAGCCGGGTGCCGCCAACCGGGGAGAGGCGGCTCCCTCCGCCGGCCGCGGAGCTCCGGGCTCCAAGCGTTTCTTAACCGGGGGGAAAGCGAATCACGGTCCCGAAAACAAGCCCGGACCGGAGCGGGGGGAGCCCCGGGGCCTGGAGGCGGAGGCTCCCGGCCGCAGGTCGCCTCTCCCGGGCGGGCTTTCGCGGCTCCTCCGGTGAGGCGTTCACGGCCTTTCCGCGGCGGGCTGGATCCCGGAGCCCGGGCAGAACCGGCCCCGGCAGGGGGTGCAGACAGACACCGATGGGGTGGCGGGTTTCCGAGCCACCCCCCCCCCCCGGCCGCTTCCCACCGCGCAGCCCCGCGGCTCCACACGCCGGAGCGGGCGCGCAGAAACCGGTCCGGCCGGTCCGCGGAGGCTGCCTCCGGATCGGCCCCTCCGAGCCAAACCGAAAACCCTTCCAGCCCCACTCATCCGCGTGCCCGTTGCAGGGCGGATTATTACCAGTTCTGCACAATTTCCCCGGACACAAATAAAGCATTCACCTGTTGATACGATCCTCCTGGTCCTCCCCTCCTAATCCAAGACTTCTGGCACAAACTTATTCATTAATTAAACCCGCAAACCCTTTAGGCTCCAGCATGGCTCGGTCTGTCGCTCCCTCTTCCTCAAAAGCAGAAAAAAAATCCACCTTTTTTTTCTTCTTAGATAAAACGATATACTCCACATAAACGGGGACAGATTCCTTTAAAGGTCCGTGTTTATTCCCTCGGCGTCCATCTTCACTCCACGGAGGAAAACCCGATATGAGTAAGGAGGGACGGGCTTATTTTTCCCCCCTCACGGTCCTCTCCCTGATCCTGCCTCTGTCCACGCCCTCGAAACCCACCCGTGGACTTTAGGGAGGGATCACCCAAAGCCGTTGGAGCGTTTCATGCCAAGCTTCTTACTCATTGAGCTTCAGTTTTTAGCACTTCTTTATCCATGTTTTTATCCCATCCTGGTCGCGCTGTTTCTTCACGCTTTACAGAAGAGAAATAGCACAAAATGTCCCTGCTGAACTGATTTTTGAAAGCTATTTTCCGCTGGATTCTTCGACCTAAAGTTGTTGACGTGTCATGGCGGCGGTGGTGAAATGCTGCCACCTGGTGGAAATATTTAGCTACTACACCAGCCAAACCACCACTAATTTCTGTCATTTTGGCAAATAAACACGGCAAATAAAAGCAGTTTCTTAGCAGAAAAACACTTAGATATAAATGTAAAATACTTTATGAGATAAACACAGAGTTTGCTCTATTCTAAGCCGTTTTAAATTGCCCTTCTGGTGCTACATATAATAAAGCTTGTTGAATTCAATTGAAAGTCAGCGTGAGTGTCTATATTCTCCATCAAAACCTGACCCTTATTTGTTCATATTTTATATTGTTTTGTTTTTAAATACAAAGAATGGGATTTACTTTGTTGGATATACTGACCTCTGCTGCTGGACTCATGCAAAAAACATAATCATGTGCTGAGTACATGACCAATAGAGAGATTCACCCCAATGGAGGCTACAACATCCAACAGCAAAGTTAGTTTGTGACATTTGCTTTAAAGACCAGAAGATATGGACAATAACTTCTGCTAAACGTTTGGTCAGAAGGCACACAAGGGTATGTTTAAATATTTTATGTTGCATGTGAGCTTTATTTTAGTTGTAAATGTTAAGTGGCTAACGTCTGTTTCTATTGTGCATTCAATATAGTTGACACAGTTTGCTTTATTACTTATTCAGTAAATGGATTTATTACAGGCTATGTCTCCCTATGTCTGCCTTCTTGTACAAGTTGCTGTTAAAACCAGGATGACGTCTGCTACGTGCAGCACAGGCTCCATAGCTCAGGGGTTAGAGCACTGGTCTTGTAAACCAGGGGTCGCGAGTTCAAATCTCGCTGGGGCCTGACATCCTTTTTTTTTCTCGATGTGTTAGTTTAAATCACAGCAATTTTGCAAACAGTTTACAAGTTTAAACAACCTCATAGCATGAGGAAAGAACCTAAACTTAAAATACGTTGTGTTTGAAGCGTTTTAAATGTTGTCTCTTTGACAACATTTCTCCCTTTTGACAAATGAAGGGAGAAAATGACGACTGTTGTCGTTAGCTTTAGCAAAAGCAAAGCTAACTACAACAGCTAGTAAAACGAACGATACAGATAGGAGGCTTAAGGCCGCAAATGTTTTTAATTTAACAACCTTAAGTATTAACAGTATTAACTTCACGATTTCTTACATTATTTTTGAACAGATTTTATCGGTGCTTCTGTATTTCTGGCGGTAACAAGACCCAGAAAACAACACCGGGATGTGTGTGGAGGCATATTGTCTTTCCTGTGCCACAGCCGTCAGAGCCCGGATAGCTCAGTCGGTAGAGCATCAGACTTTTAATCTGAGGGTCCAGGGTTCAAGTCCCTGTTCGGGCGGTAACTTTTTTGGTTTTTATTTTATTTTTTCATTTTACCTGTACACACTACAAATAGTTATTATTAACCCTTTAACGCCTGATCCAAGAATAAAACTAAAACAAAAAATTACTTCTTTTTTTTTTAATTCCTTACTTGGCCTTTTAACAAAATATGTAAAAAGAAAAAACAGAAATACTTTTTTACTATTAATAATTTATTACTATGCGATAAGTCAAGATAATTTTTTGTGTAGTCTTCTGCCCCCTGTTATCAGGTATATCTGATTGTGTACAATAGGATTTTGAGCAAAGTTTTTACCATTAACTTAAGCAAAAGGTGTCAGAGGCAAAACATTTCTCAAATATGATACATTTGGTATTATAGGCTTAAATTATTTACCACAATTTGTTGCACATGTGCAAAAAAATGCGACCAGTCTAGAATAGCTGATATAAGATTTAGCCAATTTGTGAGAGAATGTTAAAGAATTATACAGAAAGTAAATAACAATTTTGCGACTCTCCACACCTGTTTTTCCAAGAAGTCTACATTTTTGCCTGTAAAAACTTAAAAGTGGTGAATATTGTTGTTCTATTAATCAGTTTATTAAAAAACAAAATTATAAAATGCGCGAAAAAAGATATTACATGATGAAAAAAACACCAGGAGAAAAAAAACAGCCCACATGGATAAAAACGTTTGCTACATTAAACTACTTTTTTCTATGAAATTATAAAAAGGAAGTTATTTCACTCAAGCACAAATCAGAAAAGAGCTTTTTCTGAAAAAAACCTTAAAAATAATCACTTTGTCCTCCCTAAAACCTTTCAGTGTTCAAATTAATATGATACATTTTTTTTTTAAATTACCTTTAAGCGACAAAAGCTTTTATTAATTCTGAAGAATGATACAATTAATTAGGTTGAAAAGGCATCTTAAATTTACACTCAGACACAGTTTACATTATTATATGGACAAAAAGTGGTAAAAATATACTAAATATTCATGACAATAAACGAGGCGAAGTTAAAAAAGAAACAAAAAGAAGTGAAATTCAAGGAAGAACCATCCCATGCTTCTGCCCTCATGGCCGGAGGTTCCTGCTGGGCGTCCCCCTCTGCCTCTGGCGGGTTTTCCAGTGCGTGATGCAGACGGCCAGCGTCATGACCAGCAGCCCGGAGCCCACCACCACGCAGTAGGCGTGCCGGAAGCCCGGGGTCTGGAGGCCCGGCGGCTCGGCTGCAGACGCACAGACACACAAACCAGCCTGAAACTTCAGCATGACCATTAACCGCACGGTACATCTAATTCCTGCAAATGTTATTTAAAAAAGCACCCCAAAAAAGCCCCAAACTCTACAAATAGACGTAAATCTATCCAAGATTCTAAGTTATTTTTGTTCTTTTGCACAGTAAAAACACAAAGTAAACATGAATGGATGTAAAATGACCGCAAAGATACACAATAGGCCAACACGAAGACATACAAACATCACAAAAATGCAAAAAAAAACAGCACAAGCAGACATGAAATGACCACAAAAAGAAACAAAACGATCCTGGAAACACAAATTTACCACAAAAGCAGGCAAAATGACAACAAAGAAACTCATTAGACACACAAATTACCAGAAAAAGACACAAAAAAGACAAAACAATCAAAGATAGTTTAATAAATACAAAAAAAAAAAAAAAATCGTTTTTCAGCATGTTTGTGTGTTATAACTGTTGTTTGGTTCCTTTCTGAGGATATTTTAAATTACTGTGTTTATTTGTGGTATTTTATGTGTATCTTTGTGTCAGTTTTGTGTCTCTTTTTCTTAGTTGTGTGCAACCTTTTGTAGTACATTAACACCTTTTTGTGTTGTTTTCTGTTCTTTGGGGTGAGTTTTATGTGTATTTCTCTGTTTTTGTTAGCTGTGTGCATCTATTTATGGTACTTTAACTTCTTTGTGTACTTTTTGTTGTGCATCTTTGTGATGTTCTTTTGCATATTTCTCTCTTTTTGTTAGTTGTGTGCATCTCTTTGTGGTACCTTAACATCTTTTTGTCTTGTTTTGTGCGTCTTTGTGACAGTTTAATGTGTATTGTTCTGTTTCTGTTTGTTGTGTGCATCTGTTAGTGGTATATTAGCATAATTTTGTGGTTTTCTCTCAGAATCCAGCCGCTAATGGAGTCTGAATCTCCCATCCTGTAAATCTCGCTTTCGACATATTTGGGCAGCGCTTTGCTCTCGGAGCTGTCCCTGAACGCACCCACCCTGCAGCAGCGTCCCGGCTCCGACCTCCAGCCGCGAGGTCACCATGGCGAGGCAGTAAAACAGGCCCAGGTCTCCCTCCTCCACGGGCTGGATCCTCAGAGCCAGAGACCTGTTGGCCAGGCCCACCGAGTACCGGGAACTGAGCTGGAACCCTGCAGGGAGCAGAGACACCACCATGAGCCGGAACCGGGCCAGAGCCAGGCCAGAACCGGGCCAGAATCCAGCCTTTATCCGATCCAGAGCCGGGCCTGGAGCTGGGCCTGAAAAGGAGCCAGAACCCGGACCAGGAGCCGGAGCAGGAACCAGGCCTGAGCCAGAACTGGGCAGGAGCCGGAGCCGATCCGAAACCCAGAATCCGGCCTGGAGCTGGGCCAGAACCCAACCTGGAGCCGATCCAGAACCTGGCCTGGAGTCATAACCCGGCTAGGACCAGCCGGGCCAGAGCCAGGCCAGATCCGATCCAGAACCTGGCCTGGAGCCGATCCAGAACCCGGCCTGGAGCCGTGCCAGAGCCAGGCCTGGAGTCGGAACCCGGTTAGGAGCTGGGCCAGATCCGATCCAGAACCTGGCCTGGAGCCGATCCAGAACCCGGCCTGGAGCCGGGCCAGAGCCAGGCCTGAGCCAGAACTGGGCCAGAGCCGGAGCCGATCCAGAACCCAGCCTGTAGCCAGGCCAGAACCTGGCCTGGAGTCGGAACCCGGTTAGGAGCTGGGCCAGAGCCGGGCCAGAGCCAAGCCTGAGCCAGAACTGGGCCAGAACTTGGCCTGGAGCTGATCCAGACCTGGAGCTGGGCCAGAGCTGGAGCTAGAGCCAGTCTGGAGCCAGACCAGAACCCGGCCTAGTGCCTGGCCGGAGCCGGTCCAGAACCTTTTAGTCACCTTGGAGCGGCCGGCCCTCCCGCAGGCCGCCGCTGGCCACCACCTCGGGGGTGCGTCCGGCCCTGTGCCTCAGCCAGGTGGTGTCGAACAGGTAGGAGATGTTACAGGTCAGCGAGGCGGCCGCGCCCAGCTGGACCTGCTGGACCTCTGCCGCCGCCACCAGCCGCATCCAGAACCCGGCGGGGAGGAGGAAACCTGCAGGGGTCAAAGGTCAGCTCACATTCCATCCCGAGGGATTCTGTGAGGCCTCCATAAACCCCCAGATGCTAAAAACTTCCATCCCTTTGCTGTGTCGCGTTTCCTGTGGGATCTGAGTTTTTTACTGGGTTTTTAAGGCTTCTGTGCCCTCAAGCAATCAGACATTTTCTTCTATTTCCTTTTTCTTTCCTTCATTTAACTCAATATGAAGTTTAAATAACAGCCAGCTCCTAAATCCAGTCTGTAAACAGCTAAAACGGCATTCCTCTGCTCCAAAAACCTGGTTCTGGTCGTCTAAAGCATCAGACCTGCATGGGGGGGGCTCTAAAAACCTGGTTCTGGTCCTCTAAAGCCTCAGACCTGCCTGGGGGGGGCTCTAAAAACCTTGTTCTGGTCCTCTAAAGCCTCAGACCTTCATTTGGGGGGGCTCTAAAACCTTGTTTTTGTTCTTTGAGGTAAATATACGATTTTTATTGTAATGCAGGCATGCAAGCATGCTAGCAAAACTTAGCATCGGACAGAAATTTAGAAACCTTTTGTGAACTTTGTGGCTTTCTGGATTTCAGACTTGTCGTGGACTCTATTTTCCTGGAGTAAATTACCTGGACCCTTAATAAAGCTGTGGAGTCCCTCATGGATCTGATTCGTGCCCCCTCATGTTCTCTCTTATCTCACATGTGTTTTCTGTCGCTGACTTTTCTCCTAGGTTTACGCTAATCAACCTGAGTTAGCAGCTGGTTTCATGCCTGTTTCATGGTTTCTGTCCATTCTGATTCTTTAGTCATTTCCTTTCAAACACAAACGGCAGAGTATGATATTTTTCATCCAAACCTAACATCTAAGTCTCTTTGTCCTGTTTGACCCATTAACTTTAAGTTTTAATCACATTTAAACTGTTTCCTGCCTTAAATCTTGGTCTTAAATAAGAGTAATTCAGTACTCACAGAAAAGAATCCTCTCCATCCTGTGGGTCTCCATCTTGTGTTTTTATCCTTTCTGTGCTTGAGTGACGTTTTGGTTTGAACAGACCACACCAACTTCCTTTTACCTCCAGCCAATGTTTCCACTGAGCACCCACTTGTGAAAGTATGTGAAAGTCCCCTAAACCAGAAAACCCAGCAGGTCCTTTGGATTCGGCTATTAAGAGCCACCCTGCTTTTTATGCTCTTCACCTGAGCTCAAACTTCATGTTACTCTGTTTTTCTTCTTCATTACACCAAATTAAGTTAGAATTTTAGGCCAGATTTGTGCTCTTTTGTGACCTGATTTCCTGAATCTTAGCTGTTTAAAAGTATTTTGGGTATTTTTGAGCTTTTTTTAAGAGCGTTGGCCAGACACTGAAGATGCTTTGTGTGAAATTTAAAAAGTTAATGGACCTCAGTGAGTATGATGGTGTCATTTAACAGGAAGTACAAACCACAAAACTTACACTTACCTTCACACTTAACAACAGCCTCATCCTCACAATGAGAAAATAGAGACAAGAAGCCCAAACCAGACTTTAGCTGGTGAGAACTAATGAAACAAACAATTAAAAGGATGTGAAATTATCTAACAGTAAGATGTTGGATTTGGGAGATTCTCTGTAACTTCCCCCCAGAAAGAGGAAGGTGGTTAGATGTGGACTTACCGGCCAGTATCATGCAGAATTACAAAAATCTATCTCACTCACAGAGCAAAGTAATAAAACTACTCAGAATAGATTCATCTATCAGGCATCTCTGCAGACAGAGCCGCCATTAAAACCAACATTTATATAAATATTAATATATGGGATGGCCTCAAGGGGGGCTAAAGTCTCCCTAAGAAAGACCCAATGATACCAATGGTTATTAAAGATGTACCATACACTCTGTTAACAACAGAAGTAATTCAGAACAAGGACCAAAAATCCTACAAGGACCAAAAATCCTACTCTAGAATATCATCATCTGGGATTTATGGGGTGTTTCAAGATCTGGACACAAAAGTATTTTAAAAGAGAGTTGAAAAGTAAATCAGGGTTAAACAAACTCAGTTCACCCCCCTCGAAGCATTTAATTGTATCTTTTTTACTTCTGAATACTCGTTGAATTGTCTATTTATCCTATCCATGAAAAAACGGAGGGCTCTACCCGTCGTCCAGTAGATGGCCCACACGATAACCCCAAAACCAACGAAGAAGAAAAGCAAGCCGGAAGTAAGGAAGAAGAACCACTCAGCCGCTTCCTGTTTTCCGGATGGGAAAGAAGGGATTCCCCACATATTTCTGTGTCCTTCTCAGTTGGTTTACAGGTGATGGCAGCCTCCGCCGGTTGCTTTTGAGCCCCGCTTGTCTTCGCCTATCGGAGTGATAACAGCAGGAAGTGTCACCGGATGACGGCGCGCTCTCAGGTGAGGCGCTAGCTAGCGTTAGCATTAGCATTAGCATGTTTGCTTTAGCTTCGCAGCTGTCAAACCAGCTGTAGTGACTCACGTTTGGAACCGGGAGTACGTGTTTTCAGCCCTGGAACGCCGCCAGGAAGCATTTATTCAATTATTTGATATATCGGAGATAATTTTATCCTCCGCCTGAATTGGTTCGAGGGTATGCTAACGTAAAAAAGTTGAGATGAACGTGAAACTATTTCCCGGTTTTTTTATTTTTGCCACAAATATTTCTGCTTATCTGATAACTTTTATTACTGGACAAATACCGTAGTATTGATTATTCATGTCGTTTTAACAAGTGTTATGAGGCTATCGTCATTTATTTGCAGAATTTATTAAAATGCCCAAAAAAAATCTTGTTTGTGTCAGGCAGTATCTCATTTATGTTTTGTATATTATTGTAAAATACATTTGCCAACTCATTATCTGCTCTCGTACCTTAGTAAAGGAAAGTCAGACAGAGTTTTGTTACCTGTAATACTCATCATTTTAACAGTAAAAAGGCTCAGCATAACTACATATTTGTGTATGATAATGATAGTAATCATGTTCTCACGGAGAAGAAGCAGCTATAATCCAGGCTGGTATTTGTGGTTTTTCGTGTCCTGAGGTGTCGAACAGGGCGGCACCTAACTCTTAAATGAATCTCCTCCCTGTTCCAGGATGGCAGGAGTGTTTGACATCGACTTGGAGACTGAGGACATCAGCGACACAGAGGTTTGTAAAGCTTACGGGGCTCTTTAATGGAGCCTCTGCGCTTCTCTAACCTCTTTGCTTTGCTCTTTTGTCTGAAGGAGGATGACTGTGCCTTCACTGTGGCAGAGCCTGACAAGTAAGTTCAGTTAAGCCTCATCCATAAACCTCATCCAGGAATGTGGCTGCACATTTCCACCACACGACATTGAAAAGAATCCACCCATCCTACTTCTAAGCCTTAACTTAAGGGTTTTAGTTCCCTTGTTTTTGGTTCCAACCAAAAGTCCCTTTAGCATCGCTGTGTTTTTGTGGTTTTCATTCCCAGATTAAGATGTTTTTGTCTTTTTAGATGGCTTTAAAAGCCCTTTGGCCCATCTTAAATGTGATAAACTTCAGAACTTTTTTCATTTTAACGGTTTTTGGGGGGTTTGACTGTTTTTCCTGCTTCAGTGTTCTGAAAGCTGCCTTGAATAAATCAGAATTGCGATGTAATCCTGCATATCTGATCGGTTCCTGCTGCTTTTCCAGTGTTCAGACGGAGGAGGTGGAGCTGACCAGCGAGAGTGTGAACAGGGACAGCGAGCGAGTCGGACCCGACTGCTTTGAGCTGCTCACCGTTCTGGGAAAAGGAGCCTATGGCAAGGTGTGCGTCTGCCTTCTGCCTCTCAGAAATGTCAACTTTCACCTCATTGTGCAGTTTATTAAAAAAAAACAACCCTCTTTCTGTCTTTCTCAAAGGTTTTCCAGGTCAGGAAGGTTCAGGGTGCTCAGACCGGGAAAATATTTGCCATGAAAGTACTGAAAAAGGTAAATGTTCTGTCCCTTTCCCAGTTTCAACATGTTTTGTTGCTACAGGCTTTTTGTCTTTCAGGCTAAGATCGTCTGCAACGCCAAAGACACGGCGCACACGCGAGCCGAGCGCGAGATCCTGGAGACTGTGAGGCACCCGTTCATCGTGGACCTGCTGTACGCCTTCCAGACCGGAGGAAAGCTCTACCTCATCCTGGAGTGTCTGAGTGGTAAAGGGAGGGGGGTGGATTATGCACAAATCTGCTCGTTTTAAGAGGGGAGCAGCCTCTGAGCCCTTGTTTTTCCCCAGGGGGGGAGCTGTTCATGCAGCTGGAGAAGGAGGGCATCTTCTTGGAGGACACAGCCTGGTATGGAGCCTTCTTATGAATCTTTATTTTTATTGAAACTTTTAAGAATGCCCTCCCATTAATTGGGATCAATTGACAGGCTTAGACTTGATAGCGGTCTGGAGGCTTTTAACTTGTTGTCTGAGGGTCAGGTTGACCTGGGAGCACAGAAGGGGGCAGGAAACGGGGGGGTTAAGGACTCACTGGACTCTGCTTTTGTTTAGTTTCTACCTGGGAGAGATCACAATGGCTCTGGGTCACCTCCACTCCAACGGCATCATCTACAGAGACCTGAAACCCGAGAACATAATGCTCAATCACCAAGGTAACCGCCTCTGGAGGTCTGCTCCATCCAACCCGTTCAGCAGATCATTCCCAACAAACTCACAGAGACTCAGGGTTAAGGCAGAATGAGTAAATAGATGAGCAGAGTTAGAGGTTGGATTACTCTGAGAGGAGGAGGGGGGCAGGATGGATGAAAGAGGTGTTTCTGACATTTAAGCTTGAAAAGCTCAGATTTTTCCCTCAAAGTCTCCGTAGTTTTGTTTGAAAAGACTCGCAGACATCTCTGAACTCTCCCTGAATCTTTAACATCTCTGCAGGATTGTGCTAACGGAGCCCTTTAAGGACATCGAATCCTTCTACTGTCCTTATTTCTGTTTTTGCTGTCTGTATTGTTTACGTGTTGACACTCCTTCACATTGGCAGCCATTCTTTGTTGGGATGGAAAGAAAACCTGGAAAAATAACATAGAATGGAAGATCCTCCTGTTACACTTCACTTCACTGTTGAAATTGCTTCCAATAAAGAAAGTTAAAATTAGAAAAAATCATCTGAACATAGTTTTATTTAGCTCTGGGGCGCATAGAACAACTGTCCTCCAGTGAGTTCAAAATCTGTGTAAAAATATGTCTGTTTTTTGGCTCAAAGCTGGTTTAAAAAAAGGGGCTTAAATGTTTCCAGAAATGTTCTCTGGCTGGATCAGGAGTTCTGAGCCATCCTTGTTTTTTTCCTGTGTGTTTGTGGCAGATAGTCTCCTCTGATTCTCTCCTCTCCTTCTGTCTTTGAAGGCCACATCAAGCTGACCGACTTCGGGCTCTGTAAGGAGTCCATCCACGACGGCAGCGTCACGCACACCTTCTGCGGCACCATCGAATACATGTGCGCTCAAACTGGGAGTGTTACTGGGATGGATGCAGTTCATGGTTTCCTGTCTGGGTTTTCACTCTCTGTGCCCCCCCCCCCCCCATTTTCCCTCCAGGGCCCCAGAGATCCTGACCCGGTTGGGCCACAACAGAGCCGTGGACTGGTGGAGCCTGGGGGCGCTGATGTACGACATGATGACCGGATCGGTAAGAAACCCCCCACACACACACACACACACACACACACACTCGTAGTGAGTTCTGCAAGAAATCCTGGGACTGGGACCAGTTTTCCACAAAATAAAATGACCCAAATATCTGGAAATCAGACATTTTCACAGCTGGCGAGGAGAAAATATTGACTTTTAAACCTGGAAGTGGCTAAAAATCCAGATGAATAAATAAAAAGAGGGAAAATGGCTTTAAAAAAAGCCAGAAAACCTGCTTTCTAATTTAAATGTATGAATCAACTGAATGCAGGCAGATGACTGAATCAACATGAATTTATCATTCTGTCCTGAAAAAGAAATTTAGCAAATGGGAAAGTTTTCTTTTTTTTCTTTTGAAAATCCAGACGAATAGATTAAAACGAGGAACAATGGGAATGTGCCAAATTGTTTTGAAAAGCCCCAAAAACTGAATTCTAATTGAAAAGAGTCGGAAGTTAGAAATAAAAGAACAACTGAACGCGGGCTGAGGACTGAATGAACATGAATTTATCATCAGATTTCAGTCCTGAAAAAGACATTTTCTAAAAGGGAAAGTTTGATAAGCTTTAAAGACAAAAGATAAATAACAAAAGGCCCTTTAAAAGGAGCCATAAACGGCCCCCAGCTGCCTCTGACTGCTCTGATCTTCCACCAGCCTCCTTTCACCGCCGAAAACAGGAAGAAGACCATCGACAAGATCCTGAAGTGTAAGATCAACCTGCCGCCATATCTGACCATCGATGCCAGGGACCTCATCAAGAAGGTTTGTTACTGGCTCAGGGTTCAGCCTCTAGATCAGGGAGCTTATTGATTTAAGGGCCAATGTAACAGAGCTACAGCATCTTGGTTAAAGCGCCCGGCAGCTAAATTATATCCCACAAAAAACGACAAGAAAACAACATATGAACAGAAACGAGAACATCAAATGAATATTTTTTCTAAATGAACAAACAGAAAAATATGTATGTATCCAAACTTCCTAGATATGAATTTTGGATTTACAAATATATACTAATCATCCTGAAGTCATCTCTAGGATGTTTGTTTAATCCAATTTATTTCCACAAAACATTTGAAAGATCCCCTCATTTTTCAAATATTAACAATTTTCCCTTCCTAGAGCTGGTGATCTATTCCAGAGGTGACACACCAGGGCACCAGATTGGGGTTATAAAGCTTAAAAAAAGCTTTATAATTATATTTATCACTACCTGCTTACTCTTTGTAAACTCAGTTTCTGTCCCACCTCAAGTGGAACAGTGTTTCTTTGGCGTTATTCCACTTCAAACCCACATTTCAGTCATATCTATTCAGTTTTCCTGGTGTTACATAAAATAAGGTTTGAGCTTCTTTAAGAGACAACAGGTGCATTTGGGTTTGACCTGTTGGCTGTGTCTGCTTCCAGCTGCTGAAGAAGAACCCGGCCCAGAGGCTGGGCTCCGGCCAGGCCGACGCCGCCGATATCCAGGTACCGCCGCAGGATGCTGGGAGCTGATCATCCACCAGTTTTCAGGCCACATTCTGTTGATCTGGGTTTGGTTTGAATGAAAACAGCAAAACAAAGGCTGTTTGTGGTTTAGATGTTATCCACGTCAAACCAAGGATGAAGCCGAGTAACTCGAATGAGCTACTTAAATAAAAGGAGCAAATTTATTTAGGATTTTAGGCTGAAGACAGTCAAATATGACAGATACCTTCTGTAAAATGAGAGAAAATGAGAGGGATGAGGGGAGGTGGGCTAGATGACACCCCTAAAAAGGGAGAACTGACCAAATGCTCCTGATTATGAATGTCAGAGGATAATTATGATGATATTAATGGTGATAATCCTAATGATGATAATCCTAAAGATGATAATCCTTATGATGATAATCTTAATAATGATAACTCTGATGATAATCCTAAAGATGATAATCCTAATGATGATAATCTTAATAATGATAACTCTAATGAAGATAATCCTGAAGATGATAATCCTAAAGAGGATAATTCTAATGATGATAATCCTGAAGATGATAATCCTAAAGAGGATCATTCTAATGATGATAATCCTGAAGATGACTATCCTAAAGATGATAATCCTAAAGATGATATTAATGATGATATTAATGATGATATTAATGATGATAATCCTAAAGATGATAATTCTGATGATAATCCTAAAGATGATAATCCTAATGATGATAATTCTAATGATGATAATCCTAAAGATGATAATTCTAATGATGATAATTCTAATGATGATAATCCTAAAGATGATATTAATGATGATATTAATGATGATAATCCTAATGATGATATTAATGATGATAATCCTAAAGATGATAATCCTAATGATGATATTAATGATGATATTAATGATGATATTAATGATGATAATCCTCTCGTTCGTCTGCAGAAACACCCGTTCTTCAGACACATCAACTGGGACGAGCTGCTGAGCAGAAGTGTGGAGCCGCCCTACAAGCCTCGGCTGGTGGGTCACGTGACGGGCCACGTGGGGATCATGTGACTGGTAATGTCACATGACATCCACAAACTGATCCCTCTCCCCGTGCCGCCCGCAGCTGTCGGACGAGGACGTGAGTCAGTTCGACAGCCGCTTTACCCGCCAGACGCCGGTGGACAGCCCTGACGACAGCACGCTGAGCCACAGCGCCGAGCTGGCCTTCGCCGTGAGCCCCCCCCCCCCCCCCCCCCCCCCCCCCCCCCC